CCCATTCTAATCCACTTTTTCGTCACCTCCACCCTCCTCCTCCTCATCTTATTTGCACCCCCACCATTTCTGATGTCACCACTTCCTATCCGCTTCCGTCGCTGATCCGTTGACTACCACGTGCCACTGCTGATATCAGCAAAGCCCTGGCGGCCGGTCCAAATAGGGCAACAGGTCCATCTTCATGACGTCGATCTGCCATCATATACTATCAAAACATCGGTCGCTCGTCTTGCCTGGTTGGAGCGTGGGTGGGTAGTTTTTGAGCTGGAGAAGGTTCATCCCCTTGCGTCGCCCATGTTCATCGCTGTCCCATTCACTTGGGTACACTTATCATTTGTCCATCGTCTTTGCTACAGCTACACCTATCACACGCTGCCTGGGACTCACTTGTTCCAAGTTGGAACTACTCCTCTCCCTCCCTCGTTTGATCAGGTGGTCCAACACAACCAGTCCATTGGTAAGGCCATGGAACTGTCAGATTTGGAGTAGGTGGGGACCGGTGGGTCCAGTTTCTTTTTTTCAGCAGAACATTCATTTACAGTGCGATTATTTTTGATTTTTGAATCATTTTTATGGACACATATTTTTTAGAATGCCTGACTGACAATAAAGGAACTGTGTTGATACTGATAGTGTTTTGCCTTGCCCTTTTTTTTTTACTGCATCTTCCCATGACATCATGATTTTCCTGCTCTCTTTTTGCTATTGGACTTTACTTTATGGCTGTACAAACCTGTGACATTACTCACAGCATTCATTGTTCTATCCCTGGGGTTGTCTTTTTTTGACAATCTTATCCTGTACTACCTATGCAGGATTCGTCAGCATACATTCCTTCCTTCATGTTCTTTCTCATTCTTTTTGCACAGCTATACTGTGCATAGCCTACTTTTTTTTTACTATATAAACCCCTGTATTTTACCTTGTAAAAAAACAAGAACTCCAATCCAGACTTCTTCTCTACTCTCAAGTTCACTACTCTGCTACTTGTGATCCAGTGTGGTCACAACACTTCCCACTTCTACCACTGTTAACTGCTGTCATCATCACTTCCCATTTTTGAAGTCATTGTCATCCCTTTCGATTAGAGTCCTTCTGAGCACTACAGTTTGTGCGTCAGGAGCCTGCTATCACTGGGAACCTCGTCACCTCGTCATCCTCGTCGTTCTCAAACCTACCTTGTGCTACAATTAGCAAGGTAGTGCTCATCTATACTCATCACTAAGCCTCTATCTTTCTATATTTGCAACTATCCCTCCTCCTCAAAACCCACACTCATACGCCTCTGGGTTTTACTTTGAAGGATCTTTATATGTACCACCCCACGAACAACCAGACCACTCCACTGTTCTAGGAGGCAAAGCCCATAAACAAGTTCCGTGGAATCTGGGAGGATTGTGTGTTTAGTTTGTTTGTGTGTGGTTTTCTAACAGCAGTTCTCATCATCGACAACGCGAGTAGGTTCTGGCCAGTCCAATATAGCTTGAACTTTCTCAGGATTCATCCTGATTCCGTTCTGGCCTATGATCATACCGAGGAAGTCTACTTCCTTCACTTTAAAATTATATTTTTTGGGTTTGACAAATAGGTCCCGTTCCTGTAAGTGTCGAAGGACTTCTTGCACAATCCTGTTATGCTCAGCCTCATCGTCCGACTTTGTAAATATTAACAAATCGTCAATGTAAATGACGACACAGTTTTCCATATCTGCAAAGATCTTGTTCATCATGCTCTGGAAGGTCGCCGGTGAGTTGGTCAACCCAAAGAACATAACAAGGGGTTCAAAGGATCCTCGGTGGCACGTGAACGCGGCCTTCCAAGCGTCAGTTTCTTTGATTTGTACGTTATTGTACCCCCATCTGAGATCCATCTTTGTCAAGATCTTGGCACCAGCCAATTTGTCTACTAGCTGACTGATCAAAGGCAGCGAATACGCATTTTTAACCGTGTGCTCATTCACGTAACGATAGTCCATAATCATACGCTTCTTACCATCCTTTTTCGGAATGAAGGACACCGGGGACGTCATAGGGCTTTTGGAAGGTCTGATGTATCCCTTCCTAAGCTGTTTGTCTATGAAACTTGATACCTCATCTCTTTCTGGAGCAGAGAGTGGTATCATGTGTCCTTTTCTCGGTTTGAAGGTGTCCTTCAAATCTATAGCATGGTCCCAAGGCTTAGCCTCTGGGAAGTGCTCTGATTTATGTTTTGAAAAGACTTTCCAGAAGTCATGGTACTCCAGCCTCTTAATCTCTTCTTCGGGTTTTACCTCATCATAGTCATTGTCGACCTTTTCTAAAGATCTGAGGTCATAAACGTGACCAGCGTTTATCTCCTCAAGACGCTCATTGTGACGGTGTCGATGATGAGAACTGTTGTTAGAAAACCACACACAAAAACAAACTAACACACAATCCTCCCAGATTCCACGGAACTTGTTTATGGGCTTTGCCTCCTAGAACAGTGGAGTGGTCTGGTTGTTCGTGGGGTGGTACGTATAAAGATCCTTCAAAGTAAAACCCAGAGGTGTATGAGTGTGGGTTTTGAGGAGGAGGGATAGTTGAA